GCACACCCTCCTCCCCTCATCTCCCTCTTTGCAGATTTAACTACTGCTCTGGTGCGATCCACACACACATGGCCATGAAGATGCGGGCCATAATATGCATAAGCACACAATGTGGACATCAAGCGGCACATTAAAACTAAACACGCACACACACGCAGTGAGGCAGGGGCCAGAGCAGAACAATAGGGCCGTCTGACAATGAGGCTCTGAGGAATTCTCAGCTCAATATTAATATTCAGCAGAGTGGATAGAGAGAGCGCATGTGTCAGCAGGGACGCACGCTCATCAACCTCACTAACACTAGGGTTAGGCAGGCGCATGATTACAAAACACTCCCACTCCGGTCTGTAGCTCCCTAGATCCTTATACCTCCTGCTTCCATCTAGTTTCCTACTGGGCTCTGAAGGCCTAAGTACCGCACCTGTCACTTTTTTCACAAATTTTCTGAATCCCTAGGAAGCCTGGTTGGAGATTTGATTTAGGCAATTTTACACAGAAAACCCATTTCAATGTTTAAAAGTTTTGGTTTAGCCAGGAACCAATTTAAAAGAAAATCAAAGAAAAGAAAAGAGATTTTGTAAAGCCAATTTTCTTCTGGAAAAAAAGCAGCCTCTTCCTTGATTCGTTATATTTTCAATTCAGTTTTTTGTGTCTTGAGTGAACAAGTAAGCACACCTGTCAGTCCAGACTCTACGGTTTTTGCACAAGGTGACCACTAACAAATGTTGGCCATATTTGAGTGCATATGCTACCTCCATCTGTACATTCGATAATGTAAATCATTTACTGAACCTACACTTAGCACATCTGCGCTGCTCCTTACAACAGATGTGTTTAAGTGTCCTTATTTTGCACTGAAGCCTTAAACCGCACTAAGCTACACTATTCCAAGCGTATTGTATCTTTTTCACTACAATTGTTCAAAAATGCTGCATTTATTAAGCCATATTACCAGCTCTGTCGGCCGTCCCATCAGGCAAAAGAAATGCTAATACGATATCATTAGAGCAGAAGCAGAAGTAAACAAAGCAGTTGGAGCATTTCGCCTGCACAGAAGCCACGCTGAAAGTCACATAATGTAGCAGCACCCGTTGGCTACACAGTTGTCATTGGCTCACAAGAGCAAGAGTGATTTGTGTCCCCCCGAGGAGCATGATGTTCTGTGCGCTAGCAGTTACCCACAAAAACAAGTACAGTGCATAAAAGATGAACAATGGCGGGTCATTTGAAAGCGCTTTTGACATAAACATCATAAAGGTCACCTGCCTACACTGTGGCGCTCTGCTCTTTATCACCACTACTCCTCTGGAGCAGCGTAAACGTGATAAAGAACAAAATAGATCAACAAAAAGAGCCAATAAGCACAAAGTGTGGCACGAAATGGGCAATTTGAACAAATATGATTTAGACAGGTTTTCCCTCAGCAAATCTTGTTATGTGCTGTCTCACTCCAACTTCCTGTTTTGCTTCATTGCAAGCTATTTTCTTGTGAAAGCCATTTGAAAATCTTATTTTAACTAATGATCACTGGTCAGGAAGCTGTTGCAGATTTAACTGTGCTTCTATTCAAAATAAATGTCACTAAATAAAATGAAAAATACAAAGCACCAGCAGTAAAGTTGGGTTATTGTTGCACTTGAACCTGGGGCATCCTTGTTTAAAACTCATTATATCTTCAAACAATATTGACTCTGAGATTTATTTTGAGAGCATTTTGCATCAGTGAAATTAAATTAGTTTGTAATTCATTTGTAAGTCAGTTAATGTCAAGGTGTTTCTACGGCTCGCAAAAGTTCTGTTGGAATAAAACTGCATCATATTTAGATTTTAGGAAAGCCTTTTCCATACCACCCCCAATTCACTATCTCGTCAAGTCCTTCCTGATTTCTTCCTCGACACATGCTCCTAATGTGCCCATTTGTCTCCTCTTCTCCTCCCCCTTCTTTCATGCTGCGTACTGCCACAAGCTATACCTTTACCACTAAAAATCCATCACAAAAACTTTTCAAGATGGCCTCGACATTATACAGACAGAGCTACACATTTTGATGTCTAATGGGCAATGGCAGTGAGCTGTGGAAACATGTTCAATATTCACAGCTTGTCTGGCCAGATAGACATTTTGCCTGCAGTGGGCAAAGATTAGCGTGCAGTGGAGGTAGCACAGCAGAGCAACCAATTACTACAAGCGTTTCGAAATGACAGTTATTGTTATTAAAGTGACAACTGCTATTAATGAATGAGTAATGGTATTCTTAAAAAGGGCTTCATTAGAATTATGATTTGGCATATGGGTTATATGTGCCATCAAAGACAACCACAAGGCCTTGAAACATGAATACTCTGAATCATTCTCAAGCACCAGGCATTCATCACACAAGGGCAAATACATGGCAATCAGTAAATATTTATGTGGAAAAGGTGTCAATAGAATCTCGTTAAAACACATTAAATGATAATATATCAAATGATAAGTGAATAGACTGTCAGTACTCAACTCAAGTACATACTTAAAATGTTGATCTTTGAATGTCTATTTTTGTATTTGTATTTCAAATTTTCAACATCAAATGTGATGTTTGATATATAGTGTTATATATGAAGCATGAGAACTGTACAGTTTAAAACACTTGTACCTGGATGTTGACTGTGTTTTATGTGGTTTCTGTACAGTGGGTTTAGTAGCTGTAGTATTACAAATTATAACAGAAAGATACAGTAATTCTAGTAGGTGCCTATAAGTATTGGGAATGACGATTGTTGTGTCTTCATGGTTGTACTTGTAAATGAAGAGGTACTATTTGGGGTACTAATAACGTAGTAGCTGTAGTATTGTATCATTATTTGAATCAGTTATTTTTTAATACATTTTGCTATAATAATATACTTTCAGATATTAACAATATTTTTGAAAATGTGTCTACCTCTAATTTGAACACTTAAACATATGTCCTAAATTTGTGCAAATAAATGTAATAACAATCTCTTTTCTAGAGTCCAGACATGTACAGGTTTATTCACCCACTCAGCCTTGCCACCTCATAAAGTATGTATTAGTATATCCCAATGAGAGTTATGACACTGGTCCATTCTGGGCTGAGGCCTGTTGTTGATCAAGGCTTTTTTAGCTAAATGCGTCCTTAAAAATGTAAATGAGGACAGCTTTATTTGTCTCTATTTGTGTTTAAGCAAATGCCATGATAATTTCCCAGTTGGCTATGTAGTCTACTTACTGTGGAATGAAACGAACAGTGCAAGTGTGTAAGCAGCCGAGCAGTTAATGGTTTTGATGAATCCGCGTCTGTGTGCGCAGTGTAAAAAAAACCTTATATTTCCAAAGCCAGAATTCACTTGGGGGTTCAACACAGCGCACAAGACACAGACACTTAGCACAGGGTGGTTAATGAAAGCTTTGTGTGAAAAAAATACATAAAACATAGAGTTAGCTTAACGGCAGGTTTGTGTCCATTGGGAGCTTAGGCCTGTGCTGCTGAAGCATTGACCTTCACATCTATTTTGATAAGGAACTTACTTTTATAACTGTTCAGATAGGTATAATTATTTAATGCATAGCTTTTAGTGTCTTATATTGTGCCAAAATCAACACTACTCCAGTAGTACTAAAACATGTGGTTTATTTACTTTTGCAGGATCATAAAGTTAGTGTTAACAGCTTTGTCAACATGATTTAAAAAATGAAGTATTATAAACAGACATACAGTTGAGTCTTTTTTATGAACATAATTAAATGTTGCAGTCCTGCATTAAATGATTCACAAAAGGATTTTTAAAATCATTATTAAAAAGGCTTACATCAGGATTGCATCTAGCTTTAATACTTTATTTATATCAATACAACACATACCAAGATGGATTTGCAGTTTCAAACGCTGTTTGGACGAACCATGACTTTAAAGTGCTCCAACGGATTGCAGTGGGGACTACAGATGCCCAAAGCCCAAAAGGCAACATAAAGTCCAGTAAAGCAGCCCTAAAATTCTTATGAGATGTTGTAAAATTGAAATAAGCAGCAAAATAACTGGTCTTTCCCTTGAATATGGCTCAGACTAATCAAAAATAGTTCTCAATTTAATTAACTCTCTGAGCCCAATAACACGATCCATTTAACTTTACTGGACGATATACAAGCATACAAAATAGTAAGAGCTACACACACTCCACAGTTGTGTTATTTGTGCTTGCACAGCCACAGCTCTATGATTATTTAAGCAATAATAATGTAAGATTATTTAGCAATAACAGATTTAAAATGCAAATATTGTATTTTTATTCGTTTGTTCTAATACAGTTCTTCTATGTGTCGTTTTAGGTCAACACAAGCAGTCCATCACAAGCGTCATTGTGAGAGCTGTCCAGGTCTTTAGCCTTTTGAAGGATTTCCCCACTCCTTGCAGTGCTTTGAAGTGAAGACCTCTTCATATGGACATATAACTCAAAAAAAGATATTACATTTTTGGCAGTAAAATTTGCATGGACATACTCTGGAAAAACCAAATATACCCCGGACTTGACACGAAATTATTTGACCAACTGTAACTGATCAAGCCTGCATAAAGCCTTGCGTCTGCTCATTAGTTACACTCAGAGAGGGCTATTAAAAGAGTTGCATGCTTCTGAACTATATTTGCATGACCCACTACTTGCATGAGGATCCAGGATTACTTTTGACTCAGAAGAAGGACCCTTGAGCCCTCAAACATCCCCGTCTGCCTGCCCAGCTGCAGCGTTTGGGGAAGAGGGCTTTCGTTTTGGGCCGCTGGAAGTTTGGTGAAGATGACATGACTTGGCAGGCCTAAAAGCTGTTACCCAGAGAGAGAAGCAGACAGAGATCTTGGTGAAGGGACCCACAAAGCCTTCCCCCTCACATGTCAGGGTGGAGTGCCACTGAGCCATGCTACTGTTGCAACTAGTGGAAAGCTGGTGTAAAGGCAATCATCAGCCCCATAATTATTCACCCAACATTATACCCTGAGGTCCACTGATCACCTCCTGAATCAAAACAGCTCAAGAAACTGAAAAACAAGCTAAATCTTCTCCATCAATCTACGTTAAGTTTGTAACACAAGTCCAGGTAGCCACGGCTGAGTGAAAGGCACGGGGAGTCACTGTTCAGGTTAGTATGCTCTGAGCAATCACAGCAAGGGTCTATCAGACCTCTTTTTTATAAGTCAAACATACACCATTGCAAAGTGTCTGTCAAGCATACAAATGTTTTCAGCTACACAGTAAAAAAAACATACAGGCTATATGTGGCAGCAACAGCTTTTTCAGAACATGACTGGAATATACAAACATGCTCCAGGAGTTTTAGAAAAGGTGATGGAACAGACCTACTGTATAACCAACTGTAGTGCTTCAATTTTTTACATTTTTTGCAGTAATGTAGGCATACAGATACAAAGAAAAAGTATATGCACAGATATGTATATTCCATTCTAATATGTATTTAATAGTACTTTTGGTATCTATGACTTAACAGACTAATCTTTAAATTTTAGCTGTATGTTATCATTTAAGCTGAGTAAGGTAAGAGTATTAACTGCACTTTTTTTTTTTAAATAAGAGTGCAATGTTTTGTTCTGCAGCATACAAACAAATGAGACAAATTCAAACATGTCATGAACAAGTTTCCTCTTTTCTTAAGGGGCTGTCCAGTTTTCTGTGACTTCTCGCCTCAATCCGTCCCTTTGTCCCCTCTATTCTTACCATCTCATGTTTGCTTTGCATAGATTTTGACTGCAGCCAAAGGGCAATTTTGCATCTAGAACAGAGTTCACTTACAGGCACACATCCATAGCTGCTGTGACTGTGTGTGCTACAGTGAAGGAAAAAACTTGCCTTTAGAGGATTTGTTTATCAAATGTGCTGTCAAATTATGTCAAGCATTTCACATCAGGACACATTCTCCACCCTCAGGCTACTAAAAAGAAAGGCTTCAAACAAAACTATGTCACAATGAAATCAGCACAAGTCTCACCAGTGTATGATATTCAGATCCTATAAATAGTGCTTAGTGACTGTTTGCTTACTGCAATCACTTTATCTGAATTGTAAATTTATGTTAGAGATGCTGGTGTCAGGGGTTTGGTGGAGACAAGTCATAAAACATCATCCCCTAACACATTAATGTTGCAAAAAAATCTGTGAGTGAAACATTTCTTGGGATTTCTGCACCACTTGAATAATTTATGGAGATTTAACAAACAATAACAAGCCAGAGTAAACATACATAATGCATGTGATCTTGTTCTGAGAGATGAGTACAGCTCTGTGCATTTCATTCTGTGCATTGTTAAACCGTGAAAGGATAGACTGTGCTATTAACCCTGAATCTGATCTAGGATGTTCAACTGTCTGACACACTACAAGTTCTGTTTACATTTGAATAAATAGAGATTAGAGAAGTTCAGTCACATGTTATTTTGTCCTCAAAATGACCAAGTGTAATGCTGGCAATTAACATGATTTCCCCCTTTAGATCATTCTGTCACTCACCCCATTTCAGTTCATCACAAGAGAACAAAGTCTGCCCTCTTCCTTTCACTGTCAGTGTCAACTGTCCAATTTTCTCAATCTTTGTCTTCCCTTTTTACTGATTCTCGTAATCTTCTTCGCCTACTCGCTTTTCTCCTCAATGCTTTCTCTCTGTAAATGTCCATTTGTCTTCTGCTTGGTCGCTCTGACCCATATAAAGCTGGACAAGTCATTCAGACTTTAACTTGTACTTGTTTATTTTAAAAGAAAACCTAGAGAATGTTAATAGTGTAAAATATTATATGTAGTGAGCACATTATATATCATTATATATCATTATATAGCTTATAGAGAACTTCAAGAGAACTTAAATGTGTATGTTACACCTTTCTCTATTTTGTCTTTCAGACAGGAAGAGACATGGCGACTGAGAGCCTGGCAGAGCTCCGTGATTGGCTTTTCCTGTTGCTTTTGTGCCTCACCTTATTGGCTGAGGTGCTGGAACTGGCAGCAGCGGCAATCGCTATGGAGACTGGCGAGGGAGATGAGGGCATTGTTTGTCCCTCTGTGTGCCGCTGTGATGAAGGTTTCGTCTACTGCAATGACCGTGGCCTCAGCCTGATTCCACCGCTGCCTTTAACAGCCGCTATACTCTACTTACAGAGCAATCGGCTGACCAACGCTGGCCTGCCTCCCTCACTCGAGCGCAGCAGTACTATACGAGTTATATACTTGTATGCTAACCAACTGGATGAATTCCCTATACACCTCCCACCTTCGTTACGGGAGCTACACTTACAGGATAATAATATACGAACGTTACCGAGATCATCTCTTGCAAAGTTGCCATTACTAGAACGTTTACATTTGGATGATAACTCTATATCCACAGTTAGCATCCAGGATCGGGCCTTCTCTGGGACTCCACGGCTTCGGCTGCTGTTTCTTTCTCGTAACCACCTGTCCAGCATTCCTGCAGGTTTACCCTCATCCCTGGAAGAGTTACGCCTAGATGACAACAGAATAAACACTATTCCCACGCACGCCTTTCGTGGTCTCTCTTCACTTCGACGTTTGGTCATGGATGGAAACTTGCTGGCCAACACACGCATCGCAGATGACACTTTTTCACGTCTATCCAACCTGACTGAGCTGTCGCTGGTGAGGAATGCACTGCAGTCTCCACCAGTAAACCTGCCCACCTCTCACCTCTTGCGCCTGCACTTGCAGGATAATGGGATGACACATATTCCCAGAGGAGCATTTGATGGCATGAGGCGACTGCAGAGGCTCGACCTGTCAGGTAACAACTTGACCAGTCTCCCCAGAGGTCTTTTGAAGGACACGGAAAGTCTGGAATTGCTCCTAGTGCGAGGAAACCCCTGGTTCTGTGGGTGTAACCTGCGTTGGCTCCACGCCTGGTTGCACAGCAGAGGAGCGGCGGTGACAGTCAGGGGGCTCACCTGCCAGGGCCCTGAGGCAGTGAGGGGCCAGACACTCAGAGACCTTACTTCCCTGATTGAGCAGTGTGAAGGCCCTCCGGCTGGGCCCAGTCCTGGGGCAGGTATGAACCCATCTCCAAACGAACAGGTAATTGACAGCAGTAATCCTGGTGGAAGCCGGCCAGTAGCCACATTCCCACACAGTAGTACCACCACTGCCCCTGCCCTAGTTCCTACACAAGGATCTCTGTTTACTATGAGAATAAAGAGGCCAGACCTAATGGTACTGCCCCCCGGTGAAGGGGGACATGTAGCAGGAGAGGCCCTAGAGCTGACTGTCAAACCACTCTCCTCAGACAGTGTGCTGGTGAGCTGGTTGTGTCCAGAGCCCGCACCCTCTTTCCGCTTGTCTTGGCTGCGCCTGGGAAGCAGTAGTTCAATAACAGAGACTTTGGTTCCTGCAGAGAGGAGGCAGTACCTGCTTACCCAGCTCACCCCACGCTCTCATTACCTCATCTGCCTGCTGCCTCTGCGACAGGAGCCCTCTTTTGGGTCTGTGAGCAGAGGCTCCTCTCGGGCCAGTGGGTATGACACAGACAGTAAGGACTCGGCACCCGCCTGTGCTCAAATAGAGACTGGAGAGGCCCTTGTGAGCTCATCAGGGGAGGGGTCAGGAAAAGATGCCCAGGACTCAGAGCTTACAGCCCTGCCACTGGCAGGGATTATTGGGGGGGCAACAGCACTGGTCAGCCTATTGTTAATATTCGGCATTTTCTGCTGGTATGGACAGAGAACAGGCTATATGTCTGGGGACTCAAGCTCATACAATAGGGGCCGGGGAGGTAAACATTATGATGATTATGTAGAGTCTGGAACAAAGAAAGACAATTCTATTTTAGAAATTAGAGCCCCACCAGCAGGGTTTCAGATGACAGCCATGGCTCACCAGTCCCTGCAGCCTAAGCTGGACGATGTTACCTACATTCACACTATTTTCCCCTCCTCTTCCACCTCCTCCCAAGCCAATGGGACATACCGGAGTAACCATGGAGTTGGTACCCTCAACGGTACAATTCTAAGCCAAACTAGTCATCACCATGCAACTTATGGCACTAACCGTGGATACAGAGAGGGCGGCATACCAGACATTGACTACGCATACACGTGATGACACAGGGACACTCACTGAGCCACGACCGCCAGACGCCATTTTTTACGAATGACGACTTTAGCCAGTGGCCCTTTGTCCTTGTTTCCAAAGTACCCTCTGTGCCTCTGCTGGTTCTTAATGGTTTGCTTAGTAGAAAGACTGATGATAGGACATTACTGTTGAATGACAGAAGTCCTTCTATACTCTACTGCTGTATCGGAGTTCACAGTAGAACCTTTTGAGTGCTACTTATAGTTCAATTGTTATGTTTTCTCTTTTGGATATGTCAGCATCTTTTCACACTGTTCCTCTCAACTCTAATGAAACAATAACTTATTTGAGGTTGATATTAGGCTTAGCTGATTTAGCAGGAGAAATATGTATATGAAGAAAGGCACTTGATGTGTATAGAGATAGCTCTTCTTTACTCCTACCAACTGTAAGCTTTGGGGTGTATAGATAAAAAGATGACAGAAGGACAAATAAATAATTGTTGTAACCCAGAGATGAAAATGCATCACGGTTGACATGAAAAGCTGTACTCTTCCTCTTCTTCTCATTTCTAGTTTATTCCCGTTCTTTTAATTCCGCCCTTTTTGCTGCCTTTTCTTTTTGGCTTGGGCTCTTTTCTCTTGTGTCTTTTGTGGTGCCATGAGCAGAGGACGACTTTGTTCTCACAGAGAGAACTGACAGCAGCGATAACAGTTCTGACAGAGACAGCAGACACAAGCCACAGCAATGGGGAGACTAATGAGAGGCGCAGAGAGAACCCTAGAGTGGAGGTGATGGATAGATGGATACTCGCAGGCAAAGAGCATAAAAACGCCACTGTTTTTTGGTATGGAGACTCTGACAGAGGTGTGTTGGCTTTGGGCACTCTGCTAAAATCCAAAATACATAAAAAAGAAACAGCACAGGAACAAATAGTGAGACAAATGCAGTGACAGGGGACAGAAAGGGGATATCACGGGATATAGTATCAAAGGCCCATTAAACATGCTAGACAGAACTATTTTTCTTTCCTGTTGCCCTTATAATCATTTAGCTTAAGGGGGACCATGAGCCTCAAAATGTGACACTGTAATCAGCCTGGCATATTCAGCATAGATCACTTATTTATAGTCTTTCCCTAATCACCTGTGCTACTGCATGAAATGAACCCAAATTACAAATCTCATAATAGTAACCAGTTAGTTTTGCCAGTTTGGTAAAATCCCTGAAAGCAGCCAGCTCAATTTGGTCTCACCTCATTGGCAGAAAAGCCATCTTGATTGGAATTATTAAAAACATATATTAAAAAATATCATGCAAGGTACAGGTAAATATAAAATTAGACCATTAAAGTAGCAGCTGCAAACTGATTTTTGATGATCTTCTTGCCAACACCTAGAAATATCACCATAGAAATTGGCAGATTCATATCACTAGCCTAGTATGTTTTTCTTTTGTATTTTACATTTGCCTTGAGTTAGTGTTGGTTTGAAAAATGGCAAATTAAGCCACATTAAGCCATATGCAGTTCTGAACAAAAATGTTATAACCAAGGTAAAAATATATAATGAAACTTTGTTAAAAAATGTCAAAGCCAGTTAATGTGGTAGAGATTCATTATGCACAAGAAAACTGGAGCATAACAAACAATTTGAAGCAGGCAGAGGAAATCATATTTTTTATCTAACTGAAAGAGCTTGTCCAGCGGTGAAAACAATCTTTTAAAAGATAGAATTTGCGCTATTATTTGTTGTTTATGACATTTTCATAATAGGACCTCCTGAAGGCTTTCTTTTCAAAGTGGCACAAGTTTCAACAAACAAAAGATTTTGGCTCTGCATTTCATTTTGATTATACTAGATAAAATATAAATAGTACAAAGGTTAATGTTACATGCTGTAGAAATGAAAATCAAATTATATAAAAGAGGGGCACAGTAATTCACTTGTAACATCTGCACAGCCCACTAACAATAATAATCTACAACCCTCCAAAAACACATCAGTTTTTCCAACAAGTTTCAGGCTTAAAAGAAGTATATTTTATTTGCCCTCTTGAATCTATATAACTTAAAAACAAAAAAACAAAAAAAAAAGACTGTCTTGATTGATTAAGGAAGGAGTTTAATTAAACAGACAGGGTTATAAAGGTACATAAAGGGACCACAGCCTGACCGCCACACTGTGCAACTTACAACACTGAGAAGGGGGTGCACCCATCTATGTAAGAAAGACACTTTAACCACAGATACATTAAAACTGTCAAATAGTCATTTTTCAACACAAGATAAAGGCAAGAGAAATGGATGAAAAAGTAAATAGTGGTGAACAGACTTAATGGAGCTCTTAGTTTGTTTTCCAGTATGTTACACTGCAAAGAGCACCAGAGTTTTAAGTTTTTTTGTTTTTATTTTTTGTTTTTGTGTGTGTGATTTTGTGTTTGTTTTTAAAAGCACTGATGCTTCCTTTCATGCTGTGCAAAAATCCATTTTCGGTTTAATATGTCACCCTCGGATGCGCTAATGAAAACAGTTATGTAAAAAATATATAAAAATAGGTGCAGCCTTTCCACTTAATGGTCTGTCATCTTTTTTCTAAGCAGATGAATAAAGACTTGTAAAGGAAAATGTGGTGTTATGAGTTGTCTTTGTGTGGGATTATTTATGTAAAGAAACTAAAGATGAAGATAATTTCAGGGGCTGCATGAATTAAAAGCAATGAGATGAGATTAAATTAGATTCATAAGAGGACCTTGTGAGAATAAAGTGAATGAATATATTAAACGTTTGCTTGGCCTTTCATGTGTTTGCTGGTATTGTCTGAGTGTTAGTGAGCTTCTCTGTCTGGCTGAAGACATGCCTCTCATTCTAAGCGAGTGCTAATGCTAGTGTAAGCATGGATCAATATAATGAACGGGGGAGTGTATAAGTGTCCATCCCGCAGTAACTGCTGCTGATGGGCGTTTGTGAGGAAGTCTGGATGAAATATTATGTTTAGCAGTGCACACTGTGTCCGAGTCTAACGACACAAGATGCTCATGAATGTTTAACAGAGAGGGGCCTTTGTGCTGGTCTGAGTGCTTACTGTAAATGTTAACGGCTTGGACCTCAGTTGTAAACAGTGTTTTGCTGTGGTAGTGCATTATACCTGGCTCTACACTGAAGAAAAAGACCAGGCTTTCTCACAATCTTTCCATTCACAGTGTTCAGTATGTTTGCATTAGAGTGGGTAATTATGCCAGTATTTTTGAGCACCTTGAATATATTAAAGTTTATTTGTTAAAAGGTCAGAGATATATTTTAGATGAATGCATGTAGCTGGCTGTCTTAAAAGCACAAATAAATGCATTATCAGCTGTGCACACAAATACCTTATATAGTGTTTGCATCACTTATGGATGGGACTGACAGTGATGCCATTATTCACTTAATGAAACTTGTTTTTGAAAGATAATTATTCCCTGTGTAGTCCACATTACCACATTACATATATTTTATAAACCCTTGCTTGATAGAAACCTGCAGGAAACCACGGCAGGAAAAAGAAATACTACAACAAAACGTTTTACCAACCAATGAATGGGCAGGAATATGAATAAACAAGACAAAGATGTCCTCTGGGGATTAGAGAGCACCCGCTGTATGATTTAGCCTGTCTGTCAACCACAGACACTATGCACAGCAAACAGGACAATCTCACATATGCCAGAACCATGCTCAAGGCTTACAGAGAGATAACTGTCCTTGTTCTGCCATTGTCTTCTAATCAATTTAGCCGCTTTACACATTTTATCTTCTAAACGACACATCTTAATTATGGGCATTGTATGTTCCTGTATATTCAGTCAAAAGCACTTAGGGGTGAATTAAATCAAAGGCATTTATAACCTAAAATAGAAAAGCTTGTTCAATTTGGCTCATTATGCATCTGAAACTGGAATACAGTGAATAAATGATGGGTTAGTACTTTTTTTCTACACAATAAACCCTGCAGGCATGCAGTTTGTGTCTCGACAGACTACAAGAGCAGAGTGGTGGAGAAGCGCTGCTCCAGGCTGCATGTGCACTGCCGATGCCCTAAAGTCTTCACTCACGGTCGGCTTGCTGCCCACCTCTCCGGGGCTACACTCGGGAGCGACCAAGACCTCGGCCCTAGTAGTTATGGCAACTTGTGATTTCTCCGGAGAACTGACTCACTGCCTTTTCTTCAGTGGAGGCAGGCACATCGCAGCCAAAAAAGCAAATGAATTCAGAAGTGCAGTAAATTATTCATTGCTCTGTTGAAAATGCCACTGAGTGCAATGTGATCATACCAGAGGTGTAGTATACTCACTGAGCAGCTGGGCAGTAATTGCAAGTGGTTTGAGCCTCTTCAAGGTTGTATGATTCAAGGATGTAAATTAAGTCAAGAAACCATAAATTTTTTATTATCAGTATTTTTATTAAGGCTATTTTCTGCTTTTTCTGTAAAACAAAGCAAATAGCCTGAAGGTAAACGTAAACTCTTATAGCCTACTTTATTTTTTTGTCTTAAATGCCACAGATTATTCAGAAATCAATACAATGAGCGAAATCCCACACCAGGACATGTCTGATTGAGAATAGATTTGGTTGCTGTGAATCCATTTTACAAAACCTCTGTCAGCACTTCTCTCTATCCAGCTGCTAAAAAAGCTTTACCTGACCATATCTCCAAGCTGCAAACACATATCATGGACTCAGACAGAAACAACTGTGTTTCTTATTTTAAAATAAGGTGCCCTGTCAAGCTTTGTCTACCATGGTTGCTAGGTTGCTAGCTGTGGAGGTGTCCAAACTTTTTCACTATGGGCTGCATATTGACTATATGCTAGGGGCTATACTGGTGGTCAGTACACTGAATAGAAGTCTAGATGTACCACAGTACATCTCAGGTCTCACATTAGAGCTGTCACAATAACAAGTGCTACAGAAAATATCACAACTATTAACAGCAATAACATGTCACTGATACAATAACCCGAAAACAAGACTATCGTAAAAACAAGAG